TGAAAAAAAAGAGATGTACAGCAGAGCGTTAGCTTGGGTTGATAGGACAACTCTGCTAAAAATAGTCAGAGGCGACAAGATACTTGAAAGAGCTCAACGAGCCATTGTTAACAACGCAAAAAATCAAGCCAGTGTTCATCTACAAGAGACAATTTTAATACCATCCGATACCAAATAACAAATCAGCTGAGGGAGATTTTTGGGCTTGGTCGAATATCTGTATGGCTCTATGTAGTAACTAGTACCAAATAGGCTTTTCCACCTCAGAAAATTAATTAAAATCACCGTGTCCGGGTGGAATGGGTAGCTAGATATGGTTCGCTTGCGATAGCCATAAACTATATCATAATAAGTATATAGTCAACAACGAGCAGAAGATAATTTAGGAAAATAAATCTTAACTGAAAGGTTCTGAATTAGTCTTGAGGCTTAAGGAATTCGGAAAGAGTACCGGGATCATATGAAGTTTAACCGTATCAAAGAGGACACAGAGTTAGATGCTGTTGTGTTTCAAGTGAATAAAACGAACAACCATTCGCGAGTAGAACAGGGCCACGCTCGGGAGAACTTAAACTTGATGAAAATAATAATGAATCAATGTATTTTCGCCAAAGTTATATAATATGCTTAGACAAAAAAGGGTAGAAGTAGTACATTAAAAATTGTCATCTAAACCATTTCGCTCTTTTCAGTCTCTCGCAAAACAACGGAAGTCTATGTCTCCGCTTTGGTGGTGCAGTGGTAACGTGTTTGCCTAGTGACCGAGAGATTGTCTAGGTTCAAATATAGGTGTAAACATACTTTTATTCTATAGAAATCCGAGCCATAGGAAAAGCAATAAATGGAGTCATAATCCCTCCTCCTGTTCAATCCTTTTTGATTGGTCGTATTAGGCCCTTTACCCTGGTAGGCTTTTGAAACCACGGCTGAACAGCGTACCCAACGTGTCGTGAAAGGAATAACTAAGAATCGGTTGTGAAAAGGCTTTTGTAATTTTCAAAGGAGGGAGCCATCATATTCGGTGAGCTTGATTTTTCGTTAACGGGACATAAATTTTATTCTAGCGTGCTTCGTCGAATCGATCCCGGGAAAGAAGAATACTACTTACGCTTATAACCTAATTCAATACAGAGAACTTCCTTCAGGAAACTGATCATCCGTCTGTAGTGATCTCTTTTCATTACCTGTGACGCTTCATAAAGCAATACACAATAGGACGATGATTTGATTACTTCGGGAGTGACCCTGTTACCATTGCGCTATTAACTTTTGTTTTGCTGCCCACGCCCCATTTACATCTTCGACAGCTGTTGAGGCACTCGTGCGGATATTGCCTCAGCTAACTGTTCTCTTCAGGTCGCTTACTGTGCTGTGTGGAATTGTTACATAATTCTATATGTACGTGAAGCTATCACGGCGATCTTTTATCTGGATTTATCTTCCAAATTCTTCCTCGACACGGGCCAACAAGTAAAGGAAGTCGTTTGGCTAGCTCTTGCAAATCGTTTTCTTGATACGCAGCGATTACCCATTCATTTACTTGAAGAACTGCAAATAAAGTCAAAAGTAAGGTTCGGTTAAGATTATTATAAATCATTTTAGTCGAAAGTATGGGAACCATTAAATCAATTTTAGTTTACAGCAAAGACTGATCAGTCAATATTTACTATATTAGTTAGAATCTTCAAGCTGCTTACGTTTGTTCTCTGGGCTACACAGAATAGATACCGTTTCTCCTTGTGGAGCTTCGTCTCGTGGTTCTTCGTATTTGATAAGTTCTGGGCTAGTCAATTTTACTGACCTCATCGCCACTCTAAGTGAAAAGAATCTTTCTTAATGGTGGGTGCATTTTGCAGCTAATAATGTAGTTCCTTGTCCTTGCGGACCAATTCTATCGTTACATACTCTCTGAGCTGGCAGCCGTTTGAAGATTTGGTTTCCGCAAGATAGCCATTAAAAAAAAAAAAAAAAGGATACGTGGCATTTTAGACGACGAAACTAAGCGAATAAAGCCAGCATTTGTCGTTGCCGTATCGCGAAGCCACATCTGTTTACGCTTTCTACA